GTCTCACTATGTAGTTGAGACTGGCCTGGAACTCACTATGTAGTCCAGGCTGGTCTCGAACTCACAGTGATCCTCCTGCCTCAGCCTCCCGAGTACTGGGATTACAGGCGTGCGCCACCACACCCGGCTTTAAAAATCTTTTTGATAATGGCCATTTTGATTGGGTAAGATGGTATCTCATATTAGTTTTGATTTGCATTCCCTGGTTTTCTAATATTGAGCATTTCCTCCTCCCCTTGTATTTGTTATTTCTACTTTTCATGAGAAACATCTATTCATTTCATTTGCCCATTTTTTAAACTTGAATTATGTGAGATTTTTGTTACATCCTGGATATTAGTCCTATGTCAGATGCATAATTTGGAAGTATTTTCTCCCACTGTATACATTGTCCATTCTGTTGATTTGTTTCTTTTGTTATGCAGAGTTTGAAATTATTCCATTTGTCTGTTTGTTTTTGTTTTCTGTGCTTTTTGGGGTCTTCCAAAAGAAATCATTACCTGTATTGATGGCTTGAAGTATTTACTCTGTGTTTTCTTCATTGTTTAAGATCTTATATTTAGGTCTTAGATCTATTTTGAGGTGATTTTCTTTTTAATATGGTGAAAGATAGGGCTCATGTTTCAACATGGTGATCTAGTTTTCTCAGCACCATTATTGCAAAGGCTATCTTTCCTCCAGTGTATGCTTTTGGCACCTTTGTCAAGAATCAGTTGGCTATAGATGTGTGGTTTTATTTCTGGATGTTTCTTCTGTCTAGTACCATGCGTTTTGTTTACTATAGCTCTGTAGTATGTCCTGAAGTCTGATAATATGATGCCTCCAGCTTTATTCTTTGTATTCAGGATTGCTTTGGCCATTCAAAGTTTTGCATTGCTCAGGATTTTGAAGACACGGCCTTGTATATTCTTGGCAAGTGCTCTACTACCGAACTATATTCTTGGTCCTTATTTGGGATCTTTTGGGCTTCCATGTAAGTTTTATGATAGCTTTTGCTAGTTCTGTGAAGAATGTAATTGATATTTTGATAGGAATTTGATTAAATCTATAAATTGTTCTGGTAGTTATGGACATTTTAACAATATTAATTCTAATCTATAGAAGGTTACTGTCCTAATATTAATTCTTCTAATCTAAACATGGGAGAGCTTTGCCATTTTTTGATGCCAGTTTCCGTCGTTAGTGTTTTGTAAATTTTCATTGCAGAAGCCTTTCACTTGGTTAAATGTATTTTCTTTTATAGTTATTGTGAATGGGGTTGCTTTTGTGATTTCTCTCTCAGTAAGTTTGTCATTGGTGTGAAAAAATGTTGCTGGTGTTTGCATATTGATTTTGTATCCTGCAGCCTTAAAGAATTTATCAGTTCAAGGGGTCTTTTGGCGGAGGTTTTTATGGAGGATGCGAGTTTTTGGGCGGCTAGTACAGGGCTAATAGGTTATCATGGCTGTATGACTCGTCATAGGGACGTTGAAATCCTTTGGGATGTTGGCAGAATTTGGCAGATTGTGACCCAGTTGCCAAAGACATCAGTGAATGTGGTAAGTTTGAATAAGAGCTTGGTAGGTGATAGTGGAGATGAAGATAAATAGTGCTGGAGCTGCCCGGTATTTGCTCCATAGAACAGGTGGGTTGTTCCCCTGAAAAAGTTCAAAATACAGGGAGATTATCTGTATGGCAGTGGGCATTCCAGTGACTTAATAGAGTTAGGAGGACAAGCAGGAAGAATAGAATCAGTGAAAAAAATCACTGTAATGGGAATTGGGATGAGAATACCAAAAAAACAAAAAGCAAAAGCACCCAGAAAGGTCTGCATTTCGGATGGTAAGTAGGGATGATAGATAGGATTAACTGGTTTCAGTCAGTCATTTAAATAGAATTCTGATATAATTTGCTTAGTGCCCGTGTGAGTGAATTCCTGCGAGGACAGTGTCTGTCAGAAGGGAAATTAGCGAAGGAGACACATTAGTCACTTTCTGTCACTTGGACAGAATGCACAACTTGAAGCAGGACAGCTTTACTTGGATCAGTTTTAGAGGTTTCCGGCCATGGTGGCCTGGCTCCAGAGGGCAGCTGCTCGCCCAGTGGCAGCCGGGAAGCAGGAAAAGAAGGGAGGAGCCAGGGAAGAACGCACCCTTTGGGGTTACACCCACCAGCTGCTCCCCCCCTCGCCCCACTTCTTAGCAGCACCTTCGGTCATGACCTCATCGTGAATAAACCACTGATGAGTCCAGTCCCCTCCACAAGCTCTGCCTCTCAACACCAGACTTCTGGGGGGTGTTTTAGAGCTAAATTATAACAGATGAAGTTGTTTTATTATTATTCCATGTATTGGGTATCTTCTCACCTTTGTGGTTTCTGTAGCTAAGATAACCATATTATATGTAACGTATGTCTTTCCTAAGTCAGTGATGAGATTCTTGCGTGGAGAGGGAATATTAACAGACTAGTAATGTTGCTGGAAAGATTGTCCTGTAGCTCATTCTTACTTTCTTAACTATTGGGGAAATGATTGTTTAATTAAGTTAACTATTCATTACGTTAGTTTCAAGTTCACTTTATATGCTAGAACATTTTCTGTATCATTAGAAAGGTGTTGAATACCTCCCTCTTCTACCATTCTGAGAGTCCTCATAAGAGAAGTTTGTTCTTTACAATTTATTCTTAATGAGTCCTTCCAGATTTTTAGTATTTGTGATTTTTAATTGATTTTCCTATGAAGCAGCAATCAAGTTCACTTCCTTTTATTATTTTTAAAAATTGGAACAGCACTTGCCCACCTTTTTCTTTCCTACTCTGTCATGCTTTCTCAGCAAGAGTGGTTTGAGCTGGCATGGTGGTGCACACCTATATCCCAGTGTTCAGGAGGATGGAAATTTCGAGGCCAGCCTAGGCTTCTTAGCAAGTTCAAGGCTGACTTGGACGATGTAGTGAGACCCTGTCTCGGACAAATCACAGTGGTTTGAGATCACATATGAACAAATTTTTTAATTTTCTGAGATGTAAATTTTTTTTTGTCCTGAAGGTGTGAAGTCGTTCATAAAAGGTAGATAACTTTAACTACTTTAGTTCCTTGAAAGAGATCATAGTTTGTCTTCTCTGTCGTGTGACAAATGAGGTGTGTAGTTCTTTGTCATGTTGGCAGTGCTGTCTCTGTACCTGTCTCTGTTCCATGCCCAATTAAAAAGCTGTTTACAGTATTTTGTCATTGACAGACTTTAAAGAAAGTCTAAGTTTATTATACATTTTAGTTTTAAAATCAGTATTTTTGTTTTGTTTCGCTACCTGGGATTGAACTCAGGACCATCTTGCACTTGCCAGGCAGGCACGGTCCTGCTGAACTAATTCCCTGGCCCTAAAATCAGTATTCTTAATGGTCTCCTTGTAGTCAGGACCATTTTGTGGGCAACTTGGAGGGTAAGATATTTAGGGTTGTGAGTTGTCGTCCTTTTCATTCCAACCTGTAGGTGTATATTAGTAATGCTTCACGGGGAGCACATTTTTCTTCCAGGAGATCTTTGGGGCAATATCTGGAGACATTTTCCCTTGTCCTCAGTAGGTAGAGGAGGCTGCTGGGTCGATTGCCCGCATCGCGCAGGACAGCTCCCTACAGCAGAGTGATCTGGCCCAGAATGCAGGAAGTGCTGAAGTCCAGACACCTGATACACACCACCTACATCTTTGAATTCTTAGAGGCTAGTTAGATATATTTAACTAATGGTATCTTTTTTATCATGAAGGCTTTGAATGAACCATTCATTGGTGAGGAGGCTGGGTACAATAGGATACAAACTTTAGACTTAACATTTGTAGAAAATTTTTAATACATAAGTATTTATGAGGCAAGCTTCTTTTTGAAGGCTTTCTTATGGTTTTACCTGTTGTTTTGCATGGAAAAATATTTATAGTACTGAAGTACGTACTTTATTTTTAATATTACAGATCTAGAAATGGCCATTGCCTACTGGAACTTAGTGCTTAATGAGATTTAAATTTCGATTGCCCGCATCGCGCAGGACAGCTCCCTACAGCAGAGTGATCTGGCCCAGAATGCAGGAAGTGCTGAAGTCCAGACACCTGATACACACCACCTACATCTTTGAATTCTTAGAGGCTAGTTAGATATATTTAACTAATGGTATCTTTTTTATCATGAAGGCTTTGAATGAACCATTCATTGGTGAGGAGGCTGGGTACAATAGGATACAAACTTTAGACTTAACATTTGTAGAAAATTTTTAATACATAAGTATTTATGAGGCAAGCTTCTTTTTGAAGGCTTTCTTATGGTTTTACCTGTTGTTTTGCATGGAAAAATATTTATAGTACTGAAGTACGTACTTTATTTTTAATATTACAGATCTAGAAATGGCCATTGCCTACTGGAACTTAGTGCTTAATGGAAGATTTAAATTCTTAGACTTATGGAATAAATTTTTGTTGGTAAGTTCACATTTTCTGCAGTTTCATGTGTCTCTAAAATTATGCTGCTCTTAAATTAACATACTTTAAAGCATGACTAACTCATCTCAAGCATATAGTGGCCATAGAATGAGAAATTAGATTACCAGAATTTCATTATACAATTTTTTTAATATACAGTTCTTTTGTACTTTGTATTTAACACGTTTACATTTTTCCAGCTCTTTTTGGTGATGTGAATATTTTTCTGTTGTTTTAAAAATAGGAACATCATAAACGATCAATACCCAAAGATACTTGGAATCTTCTTTTAGACTTCAGTACAATGATTGCAGATGACATGTCTAATTATGATGAAGAAGGTAATGGAAATTTCTGCCTAGCCACTAGTACATAGTGATTACTTTGTTTTTATCACCCATTCCTGAACTTTCTCTGTTTTCTTTAGGATTGGATTTTTCTTTTCTTTTTTATGCCCTTTTGAGCTTTTTTCTTTTTCCCAGTGCTAGGAATGAAATCCAGTTAAGTGTTAATTGTACCACTGAGCTACATCCCCAGTGTATTTCTGCTTTTCTGAATTGTGAAATGACTTCATACTTTTTACCACTCTCTTTCAGTTTCTTTACATTCTAACCATGGGCTAGGGGCATTGCTCAGTGATGGAGCACTTGTCCAGTATGTGTGAAGCTCTGGGGTCGGTCCCCAGCACCACAAGCACGCACGCAGGCATGCACGCCAGTCAATATTCATGTCACCCAGAAAGTCATGAGTCATTTGTATCCATTTTTTGGATTTATTTTTATACTCATTTGTATTGAGGTTTTGGGGCTAGTTTTATATGTAAACTTGATCATAGACTAAGTCCACTCACTTACTTTGTGTGACTCAAAGTATTTGAGTTGCCTCGTGCAGTGCTATTGGCATTTGAGAATTTACTTATTCCTTCGTGTAACTATGAAGGATGCTGCTATACACTACCAGCATGTGCACTTTTGTTTCTTAAGGTGGCAGTGGCTTACACTGATTTCTTCACACACTCCGAGCTATTTCCCCCTGAGAAGTAGCAGGACTGTTTTCGAGATTATTGAATATGGAGATATTTGAAAAATCTCCTTTAGCTTTCACTTCTTTATAAGTCCTAGAACTATTTAAGCTATCCAATGATATATATATATATTTTTTGTTTTGCTTTGTTTTGTTTTTGTTTTTTGAGACAGGGGCTCACTATGTAGTTGAGACTGACCTAGAACTCACTATGTAGCCCAGGCTGGTCTCGAACCCACAGTGATCCTCCTGCCTCAGCCTCCCGAGTGCTGGGATTACAGGCATGCGCCACCATGCCTGGCTTGGCTGTCAGTTTTAATCAAATTATTTCATTACTTGATTTCAGTAGCCTTCAGAAAACCATCATGCTTTATTGATTAAGGAACAGGTACGTGTTGGAATAATAGAAAATATAAAGAATATTTGTGGTAGAAAACTATAAAGCTAGAGTTTGAAAGATATCAGTGGGAGTAGATCACTTTAGAATGATATACTTTAACTCTTTCCAAGAATGTGTAGGGAAAAAAATAAAAAGGGATTCTATTATAGTACTAGCCTTACTTCTGCATTTTCTTCCCTTTCTGCTATATTTTTTCTTTTTTCCAGGAGCATGGCCTGTTCTCATTGATGACTTTGTGGAATTTGCACGCCCTCAAATTGCTGGGACAAAAAGTACAACAGTGTAGCACTAAAAGAACCTTCTAGAATGTACATAGTCTGTACAATAAATACACCGGAAAATTGCACAGTCAATTTCTGCTGGCTGGACTGAACTGAAGATCAATCCTCACTATTCAGACTAAGGGTTGAGACAAAACTTTAAGGATACATTTTGGACCATATCATATTTCATTCTTCTAATGGTGGTTTGGGCTTGTCTTCTAGTCTGGGCCGCTCTAAACATTTATGATTCCAACGTTGTGGATTTCATCTTAATATCTGTGGACCATCCTAGTTTATTCTCCCATAAGTCTTACAAGCTTTATGGTGATTATTTGAGGTTTCCATTCTTGCATAAAGCACAATGCTGTCTTCATCAGAAAACAGTTTGGCATAAGAATTAAACATAATGAACATCACAAACAATTTATAAAAACTTCTTAAATATATGCTTTGGGCTAGTTGCAAAGACTATGCTGATAGCACTTCCTATGAGAGTGGTATATTTAAGTGTATGGGATCTGGAATGGTGTTTGGTTTGGGTTGATTTTTTTTTTTTTCCTGGCAAATCACATGTATTGTTGACATAAGTAGAATATGTGATGAGAGAAATGTCAAAACAACCATCGTGAAAATTTTTTGGGATAACTTGGTGCCTACTTGAAAAACGTATTGTGTTTTAGACTCTCAGTTTCAAAAAGGTTCCACAGAAATAGTGTGCACTCCCAGTGTTTGTATGGAATGGTCCTATGGGGAGCTTTTATTTAGCGGACCTCTGCGTAATGTTAGAGCCCACTCTTGTCTGCATTATGCACCACATAATTGGATTTCATTATGCTTTTGAAATGCTCATATGCCTATCAAATAAGTTAAACTATTTAATTTGTTTTGAATGTTTTTAATTACTATACAGTACAATATCCTAAATTTAGGCATGAGGGTTTATTTTTGTTTTTGTTTTTTTCTTTTTGGTCCTCGCACTATGGAACACAAATGAAATTCTTAATTTATAAAAGGATAGTATGAATTAAATTTTGGAAATGGTTGTGATGAGCCATGAAGTTCAATCTATATAATATAGGTACTGCTCTTTCAGACAAGTAGTCCATTTTTGATGACTTCTTATTTTGTTGAAATTGCTTTAACTGCTAATCACTGTGGTTGCCAAATATTTACTTCAGGAGCAAAGATTTTCAAACAAGCATCTACTTGATGAAAAATACCAATCTGGCTTCTATTTTTGTAAATTATTTAGTCTCTACTGTTTTTGTTTCACGTTAGCTCTGTTTTCACATCAAAGCAGAATGCTGTGTTGTATGGAAGTCCCCCCCCTTTATTTGTTTGTTTTGGTTACAGGACCCATGAACAGTTTTCTTGACTAAATTGATCATTTTTGTTTACTTACTGTCATGTGAAGAAGAAGGGTTAATTGCTTTCTTAAACATTTCTGTAAGGCAGGTTTAAATGCTGAACTTCAGTTTTGGATGACGATGGTCTTTACCAGGAACAGATTTTGCCTGGTGTGTCCTGGTCCTCTGGGGCCTGGTGTTGATATCAATAAAGGGATGTACTTCAGAAGACCAGTACAGGTTATGCTGATGCAGAAGTGATTTCAAGAAACAGTGACATTCAAATTGCTTTTTATTTACATAATTTTGAAGTTGATGAGGTATTTTATTAATATTCCATTCATAATTTTAAATTCAGAAATGTAATCTTACCAAAAGAAAATTTTGAAAACTTCTATCAAGTTATCGGAATTAGTTATTAAAAGAAAAAAAAGGGAGAAGAATCCTGCTGTTTTCAGTGTTTCCTGATTTCATTTTTGTAAATATAAAGAGGAATTTCAATTATGAGAAATTTAAAAAAGATATAAAAATATATGTACTTTTATTTCCTGTCTTGAGGTTGTGGAGTTACAATATTATTTTTAGATTATTTCAAGTATGCTGTGTTTTGAAATGAGACCCCATTTTTTCCCCATTATAAATTGTTTTCATAAAAATCTGATATTGGTTGTGGCCTAGTGCCTTGGGATTTACAGATTTTTCTTTTAAATGCAAGACCTTTTCAACAAAATAGTGTTTGTCATCAGTTTGGTACTAAACATTTATAATTACTGTGTAATTATAAACAAAAATACATAAAGCTTTGAATATAATTATGTAGCATAAAAGTTAAGGTTGTTCACTATGATGGCATCTTAGAATTAAACAAAGCTGTTACTAGGGCTGAAAAGAGAACTGATTGAATGTGTTGTGATTATTTTAAAGATAAATGTCTGATACAGGGAATGTTTTGTACTAAAAATGCTTACACATGGCTAGTGTGTGTGTGCATGTGCGGGTGTGTAAGAGTTTGTGAGTCTGTCTGTGAGAGGAAAACACACACACACACACACACATAACTTGAATTGCTTTAATTCCTAAGCATTTCAGTCTCCATTCTGGTCAACTCTCCATGCTTATTCTTTGTTTCAAGTTTACCACAGTTTCCTTTTTTGTAAATGTCAGAAGAGGTATACATTTTAAAGTGTAATGCTTTTTAAATAGTAAAATGTAAAATGAGAAGTGCCCACATCTAAAAATACTTGAAATCAAGGTTCTCTTTAGTGAATATCATCTGCATATCTCTGTAAGATCAATTGTGTTCCTTACACTCCTGTCATTCTCCCAACAGAGGCAATAAAAGCTTCCGTGAAATTGCCATGACTAAATCTTTTCACATATACTCCTGTGTGTTACTTTTTTAAAAACTAAAATGTACATGAAAACTTTTCCAGGAAGAATAATTATTCATGAAAAGACATTGTAATGGCAGGTTTATTACATTTGAGCTGTTTACACCTATACTGGGCTGATTTAATTGACAATACTGTTGTTGCTTATGTGGTGTCGTACGTGTGTGCCTAACTTAAGAAAGTAAATTTCTTCAAATACACGGGAAATCCTTTACAGACTGTCTTCCTTGGGGAATTTTTGAGCAAGGTATGCCCTTTTTTCCCCTTAGCTTTAAGTGAAGTTTTTGTTCGTTTTGTTTTTTTTTTGAGACAGCCTCACTGTGTGGTTGAGGCTGACCTTGAATTTGGGTTGGTCCTGCCTCAGCCTTCCGAGTGCTGGGATTGCAGATGAATCACCACACCTGACTCAAGTTTTATTTTTAAAAACTTATTGATGATAATGAAGTTTGAGTAGTAGTAGCTACTTTAGTATGCCCTTGCTTAGATTTTCAACATGTTTCTATTAAGATTACGTATCGTAAACCTGTGATTTTTACATGTCAGTGACAGAAGAAAATTAAACCTAATGACAGAATTTTAGAATAAAAAAGGAAAGTGGTGTTGGAGAAATTTATTCTGGCTCACAAGCTATGCCTTTATATGAAACTAAAGTTTCTTAGGAAGGATTAATTTATGTAGCTCTCAATGTTGAATTGTGTCTATTTAATAGGACATCGTTTCTTAGTACCGCCGCAGCAGTTTGTTTTAAATGTTACCTACCTTACACACTTAACAATATACTTATATTGAATACCTAGATGTTTTGATAATGTTTCATCAAATTTGATAATGTAATCATAAAATGTTTTTAAATGTGAGCTATTTAACATATATCCTGATAATTGAGGATACAAAACTTCAATTGTACTTTCTATATAATATGATAAATAGGGTAAAATTATGGCTAATTGGGTCAGGGATTTAGCTCAGTGTTTCCACCACCTGCCTCACAAGCACAAGGCCTTGAATTTAATCCCTGGTACAAAAAAAAAAATTATGGCTAATCACTTGGATTATAAATGAGTATATTTCTCAACCTTTTACAGCCTCAGTTTTGCAATTACAATACAGCAATGATTTTTATTTCATAGAAGTGTGGTAACATTATCATGATATCTTTGATTCCTCAGGGGAAGAGATTTGTATTTTGTTAATTATGATAAATTTGAAAATTTCTAAAAGTATAAACCTTTTCCTGGCTTAGTCTTATTATGATTCTGGTTGAATATTTGCTTTATTTGTGTCTGATTCTGGAGACAGCAGTTTTTTTCAAAAACATAGGTTTTTCAGCATTCTTGCGATTTTGTTAACTGCCTACTAGGAAAGTGGCATTTCCTGCTGGCCAATTTATTCATGTGACATGTGACAACTTTCTGCTAAGCTCATTGTTTTGTGATAAAGTGGCTTTGACTTCTCTTTTTTTTTTTCAAGTCTTAAGATTAAGTCTGTAATACCAGGTTCTTGTGAGGCTTAAACAGGGTACTTGATTGTGAGTTCAAGACCAGCCTGTGCAATTTAGTGAGGGTCTGACTTAAAAGTAAAAAGGCTTAACGGGGTAACTCAGTGGTAGAGGGTTTGGCAGGGTCCTGGGCTCATTCCTCAGATGTATACGTACACAAGAGCAAGTCCTACATAAGAAAAATATGATTAAAAGTAAGCAGCCTTTGGGCCGGGGATTTAGCTCATTGGTTCCGGCTCCTGCCACACAAGTTCAAGGACCCGAGTTCAATCCCCGGTACCAAAAAAAAGTAAAAGTATGCAGCCTTTGTAGCAAATAAAATACCTAAAAAACTGTTTGACTTTATGGAGCTTTAAAGGGAAATTATTTAGAGGGAATCATTTTGTAATTCATTTTGTAAAATTAAGATTGTGTTGTATACCTTTTTATTTTATTTTATTTTTTTTTTGGTACTGGGGATCGAACTCAGGGCCTGTGCTTGTGAGGCAGGAAGCGGATCCACTGAGCTAAATCCCTGGCTCTTAAATTAAGATTTTTGGAAATATTTTTAACCTAAATGCATCACGAGTTTCTTATAAGCATTGCTTAAGTATTTGCATTTTTTAATGGTTTGTGCTATGCCAAAATCTTTATGTAACTTGTAATTTATAGCACTGGCTTGAAAGCTGTAATGTAACCTGCGTCACTTTGGGCAATAGCAGGCAGATTCTCTCCAGTTCATCTATGGCTTTATACTTGAAAATGTGTGGTTTTGCGGGTAAGAGATGGAACTCGGCGGTGCCGCACCTGCCTGGCAAGCGCCAAGTCCTGAGTTTCTTTGGGCTGGGGGCTGTTAGTGGTGGGGCCTGAATGCAGGGCTCCTAGCACGCTAGGCGGACACTGCCGCTCAGCGATGGCTTTATACTGTGTGCGTGTTGGGGGTTAGCACTGTTACCGTGTGAGCTTTAGTAGGTTGGTCTTTGCCTCTCTCTCCCTCCCTCTCCCCCTCCAGTACCGGGGATCTAATTCAACCTTGTACTTGCGAGGAGGTAGGCGCGGCGCCACTGAGCTAAATCCCTGGCCGTGGCGTTGCCTTTTTAGGGGGTTGAGGGTGGTGGTGGCTGGGTCCAGGGAATCGAACTCAGGACCTTGAGCCTGCGAGGCAGGCGGCAGAACCAGTGAGCTAAATCCCCGGCCCTTCGGGTTGCCTTTTGATAGTTGAGTATTCTATATTTTGCAGTACCTAGGGATCAAGCCCTGGCTCTGGCAGCCAAGCCACAGCCCAACCCCACCCCCGCGGTTGCAGTGGCGGTGGCAGCGCTACCTCTTGGGCAGATCTGTCAGTGGAGGAAGGGAGTCTGACCGAAGTCACAGCCTGCCTGAGCGTAGAACTCAGCACAGCTTTGAAGACAGGGATCCATTAAATTCAGAGCAAATCACTTGGAAAGCAAAATTAGTGAAAACAAAGTCTGATTTGAAACAAACTTTGGAAAATTATCAAGGGCAGCTTAATGAGCAAACAGGAAGAATAGGAAAATACCTACTTTGTATTTAGAAAATATGTGTGTAATTACGTGTTCAGTATAAATACTAAAATTTTCATTTCAAGTCATGAGATATTCTGAGAAAACTTTGTGTCTGTTGGAAATTTGGGCAGTACCAAACGAGATTTTAACAAAACTACTGTAGCATATATGGTTAGGGTGGGCTAAAAGACGGACAAAAGATTTTTGTCACTTAATTCCATGGTTCATCACTGAAAGCAATAATTTATGAATAAGATTTACAGGTGCTTTAAAGGCAGCATAGTTTTGAAGCAAATACTAATGCTGTTAATCCTAATAACTTTTACAGTGCATCGTATTGATATTACATGAAATAAGTGGGCTGTCACCTAGAGCCTTAAAATAGTTGTTCCTAAGACTTTGTTGTAATGTTTTTTGTTTTTGTTTTTTGGCAGGGCCTTGCTCTGTAGAA